AATTCATTAATATAATTATTATAATACTAGGAGAGAGTCAAGTAAATTCATAAACATTAAAGTATGCAAAACAGCTTATGATTTTTGTGCATTGTGTTTAAAGATATATATATTTTGCGCTATATAACATGTAATTTTACACATTATGATAATATAACTTGAAAAATAAAGTAATAGTTTGTTATAATTAATTAACTGACATTAATATTAAAAATTATTTATATCGTCAATACATGTGGCTTAAATTATTATGTGAATATCATTTTACATGAATGGCATTATGAAATGTATGTGTGCATGACCTTGCTCTAAAATAGTGCTGTAAATGCTATTGGTACACCGGTCCTATATAATACTAATATAATGATCCTGGATTTCGTAAAATAGAAACAACAAAATACCATCCACTAATACTTTGGATATCATTTCTAAAAATAGCTATGGACCTCATCAATTTATTTTTTTTTAAAAACCATTATTAGCAAAATAATTATATTCAGGGGTTTGTTAGAGAAATCGAACAACTCGCTATAGAATATGCACAATACGCTACTATTTAATTTGATAATAAATCCACCTAAACTGCACACATGTACATCTGCTGGCCGATTTTATAACGTAAATTAAACTAACAATTTTGGCAACCATGCACAAGCAAACTCTAATATTTGGACAAGTTGTTACCAATTCAAGTATTCAGATGTAAGCATTCGTTAAATTATAAGTATCATAAATTTAAAAAAACAAATTAAGTGTTAAACCTACTCTATTGTCTGGACAAGTAGTTATCCATTTGAGAATATGAGATTAGGAGTTCGTTAAATAAAATAGGGAGTTTTACACAAATAGCTGGCCATATTAATTATTTACTTTTTCTAACCATATACATAGATTATACATTTATTATACACAATTATACACATGTAATATATAAATTATGTATATATTATACATTCACCGACTATTTTTAATTTGAGTGGTAGAGTGAGCAGCTATTTGGATTAATTCTTCGATAAAATATACTGCTACTTGAACTAATCGCATAATCAGCATTCTTAAACTTCATCTTTTACTTTAAATATGCTTTCATGACACCAAACACTGAGACATTAGCCTAAACAGCATATCATAAGGTTATGTGTTTGTCAGTATTAGCTTATTCTATATTGGGCTACATACATACCTTACTGTTACTTCATAGGAATTTTAGAAATATATTCATGTAGCTTTTTCAGTTTTATGTCCAAAGAGATCTTCCAAATGTTGACAAAACCCTTATATGGGAACGAGTTTGAATCATGTCACCCCAATATCAGAGTCAGTACTTTGCAATTACACAAATGTCTTACGGGAAGATAAATATATAGGTAAGTGTGATTATAATATATTGGTTGCGTACGTGATTATCCATATTTGGTTGCCCGTTAAACTTTTTTATACCATTTGGTCATCATCTAAAAGATGGTAACTATTGTAACTGTTTATAAAAAGTGGGCTCTGTAACTTAACATATAATAAATTATGTGATTATCTTATCTAAAAATTTAAATTATTAGAAGTTCATACTTTTATTTACTTAATTATATTTTTAAAACGGCCCTCACGTACATATAGGTATGCAGATTCTTTTTTATGGAACAAATACGTGGAAATTCTTTTTTATAACAGACAGTGATGAAACTCGAAATTAGGACTTCAATCTAAGAGAATTTAGGATTCTAGAATATGGATGCACTATAAAAAAAAAGACAGTATTTAGTGTGAGTTGATCCCTCTTGCTTTTGGTAAATAACTCAATATTTAATTAAATATACTATTCAGTCTTTTTAGAGTATAGGGGGAAATAAATAATATTAAATTAATTTAAAAATATGCACATAAAATAACTAGTTTGGAGAAAATACCATGAGTTCACGTGCTCCATAATTTGGGCCTAAATTGTTACGTACTGCCCACTCATATACCATGCATATTGAAGTTAAATCGTCTAATCATCTTATCTAAAAGCTTAATCTGTGAGAGTGTATATTTTTATTTACTTACAGATTTTTAACAAAAAAAATTATATATGACAAATTACATGTTAGAAGAATAGGTTCAAATGCATGAATATATAGTATAATTTTTTCTATATTGTTATAGTATATATATGTAAATTATTTTTGATATACCTACACAAAGGTGAGAAGGGTACACAAGCAAGCAGGAGTT